TCTAATTTTTATTAGGTAGAGCTTTTTAAATTAGCATTGCTGATGTTAGTTTTTTCTTTTTCCTTTCGTGAAATTACCGGGCATTGCCGCGTACCCGGCGCCATTATTCGTCAAAGGTACGCGGCGTCATTATTCGGTACCCATTCAGTTCCTAAAAAAGGTGCCGGATCAACCGGCTACCGCTAAATTTTAATAAAATAACTCTTTTTAAATGTTTATTTAGTAAAACATTAGTCGCAAGTCTGATTTTTGTCTATCACCCGAAATGAATCACATACTTACTTTTTTTGAAAGAAATTGTGCTTCCAAGAGCCATGTCTCTGGTTCTACTCATTCTTGAAGATGTAACTTTTGCTAATTGTCTTGAAACAGACATACGGACAGAACTCCTCCGGCGGTCTTTCTGTAAAAGAGTTATTATAGAAAGTTTGACTTAAAAACAAACTTGCTAGAACGTTACGTTTTTTTAGTGATAAACGATCTTGCTACTAATTCTGGGTTTTTATTCCAATTTATCCAAACTATACATACATACTACCCTAATATTAATTTTATTTATTAAATGCCGATTAAAATACTCTAAAATTCGTATAGACTGAAGTAAAGGTAACAACTTACTTCATCTATGCGAACTTCTGAAGCGGTTGCAGGTGGTTTCTCAGCTGAAGCTGTTCTGTCTTTGATGTCGCCTGGTGTCTTGTCTTCCGTTGTGGCTTTAACAAAAAGCATGAATATTATATGTATAATTAATTCAAATAAGTGTAAATTTTCAAAAGAAATACAGTAAACACTCGGTAGCGTGAATTAAATTTAATTAGCACTTTAACCATGAATACATACATATATACATACATAAAACACTAATACATACTCACTAAAGGAAAGCAACAAATACATAGAACAGTAATTTCTTGCTAAATAGGACAATGACAATGATTTCGTGCATGTTCTAGAATTTTCTAGAAAGTTCAAAAATATTTCCGAATGAAGGTATTATGTAAGCTTCTAGATAATTCAAGATGTTCTCGAATGATACGAATTTTTAGGAGTTAAGGAATATTCTATAAGAATTTTATGAAATTCTTCAAAAGGTTTTAGAATTTAGGAAATTTAAAACATTCGAGAACGTTCCGAAATATCATCAAATTTCTAGAATGATCTCGATTATTATAGATTTATAATAATCTACCACGTTGGAAAGTATTCTAGAAAGTTTTCGACCTTCGTGAAATTGTTTTAAATATATCCTAACCTTCCATTCTTTTCTCGGGGATGAGTAACCCTCAGGGTTTATCTCCTCAGTCGAGGAGGGGTTTTAGTCGGTAAAAATCCGACACTACCCCCTTCAGGGAGTGTCTTTTGAAGATTTCCCCTCCTCGAGAATAATCTTAACAAAAAAAATAGTTTAGCATTATTTAAAAATAAGCTGTTTACGACTGTGCGGGAATTGCGAAATGCTGTGTTGTATATGTATTGAAAAGCATATGCATTTAGTAAGGAAATAGTTAAGATTCTTATAGGTAAATAATCGTCACCTCGTTTTTGTTAGGTATTTGTTGTTACCTTCTGTACCGGCTTCTGTGGCTCCTTCGGTAACACCCTCAGTGGGTGCCTCAGTAGGGGCTTCTGTTGTAGCTTTTTCCTCGGCAACGGTTTCTTCGGCAACAGTTTCGCTCGGTGCCTCTTCGCCTGCTGCAGCCGACGCTTGTTCTCCTGCCGCCGCTTGTTCTGCTGCCGCCGAGGGTTGTTCGGCTGCCTCTGACGGTTGCTCCGGCGCTTCACTTGGCGCCTCTTCGACCGAAGCAGGAACGGTCTCTTCGCCTTCTTGTGCTTCGCCTTCATCCATTTAGATTTTTATTCTTTACTCTATATAAACTTAATCAAAATATATTTCGATAATGACAAAAGTCTGAAAATGACAACTGGTCAAAATAACAGGTCGATTTTACAAAAAAAAAAAGATTACTATGTTATAATTGCTGAAAATAAAATAATAATAATAATAATAATCAAATCCCAAAAGATGTGAGTGAGGTTCTTTGACATTAGCCCGTCTTCACTTGCTCAAAGTTA